TTAATGAATAACAAAAAGCAATAGAGTAACAAATATGTAATAAATATATATATATCGATACTGTATTTGCCATTTGCTATTATCGTTATATGTCTTAATAAATAAAAATTTTATGTTTCAAATAAAAATAAGCATATTATTTATAATATAATAAGATTATAGCAAGTTACGGCAAGTTACGAAATACAAAATTGAGTTACAGCGAATATTAAATTATACCTTGAATAATTTTATCGGCACATACGCAAGTTATAGCAAGCCGTAATTTACAGCAAAAAGCTATGACTAGTTATAACTCAGGATACGGGCCATCCCAATTTCTCAAGTTCCGCCTGCACCTCTAGTTCGCACACGCGACTTTTTTGCAATAAATCATTTTTAATGACATATTTTATGTTGTTAATAAATTGATTTAGTATAAGGAACAACTTCGTTTTCGTAAATATTTGCAAATTCTAAATGATCATCTATTTATAAAATCTAGTTAATAAAACTAGGCACTTGAGTTGTTTGAAGGGAGCTTGATATGAATGTGTTGTGTTGGTATATAATGTATTAGTTATAATATAAATGTATTAGTTATAATATAATCTTAACGCAGGTCCAGTAAATTTTTAAATAATGTTTGTAGAATAAAAAAATGGTAGGGTTTTTGGATTAATGCATGAGGATATGTACTAAAGGTTTTTTGGGTAGCATATTAATAATTTATATATAATAAGGAAACAATGGTTATGATTGGTGTCATGTATTTAAGAACGGTCGTATAATGTTTAATATTTTTCATGAGGTTGAGCGTTATTATTATTGAAAATCTAAAATATAAGCAGAACCGGGATTAGAGATTAATTGTTTATTTATTCATTAAGAGCAAAGGTGACGGCAATTATAGCAAGGCTTTATTTTTATTACCTGAATTAAGTCTTATAATATTTTTTAAAGTTGTGTTCTATAGAGTATTTATTATTTATATACTTTTATTGTTGCGTTATTACTTTATTTGATTACTAATACAATAATTACGTTATTTCACATCTCTTGTAAAGGTAATTTATAAATTTGGTCGTTACTGTTACTGTCTATCGGATTACATTATTGATTAAATTATAGTTGAAATAATTACTCGTTTATTAATTTATTATTATAAGTATACAGATTTGTTTATTTGTATTAATCTAGTTAGTACTGTAGAACGACTATTTAATTTATCGCGTGAATATATGAATTAAGGTAAAAATTTGAATGACGTTAAAAACATAATAAATGAACAAAGTTTTTAGGGTTGGTATTTCATTAATTCACAGCAAAGCAAGTTATATATTGACCGTTTAAATTCTTTTATTGATATAAATTAGTTATCAGAAATTTACGGGGCGAAGAAAGGTATGTAAAATAACTTTAGGGTTTTTTTTCCATTATATAAAATTTAGTATGTTTTTTATTTTATTACAGAATAGTTCATAATTTTTATAGATTTGAAGCTGATATTATTGAGAAAGAAAAATGAGGGTATAAAAAAAAAAAAAAAAACATTGTGATGAATGTTATTTAGTTCTATTAATGCTGTTATTAGATTAAATAAATCGGTGTAAAAATTTACTAAACCGTCGTTATGTAGTGAACTTAATCGTTCATATTCATTTATAACCGCCGGATCTGATATTATATAAGCTGGATCGAATGAAGTAATATCTAGGGAATTCCATGAAGGGGCCCGACTAAGTGCAACATATGCTTGACCATATGTGAACATTTGTTCATAAATAGCAACAGAAATGTTGGGTATGGTTAATCCTTGTGTTTTATGCACCGTGAGCGCAAAGGCATTTTGGAGAGGAAATTGATGTCGGCTTGCTGATAAGCCATTTAAAAGAAACCGTTTAGTTATTCTTTTTACAGCAGTAGTAATCATTCTTAATGGTGTCGGAAATACGACATTAACTGTACTTTCATCGATTAATTCGGTAATAACACCAATGGAACCATTATAAAGGCCATGCTCAAATAGGGCATTATCAAGGTACATGACACGGGCACCTTTTTGCAAAATTAAGGTCACAGGTAGATTTGTAAATTGGCGGAAATTACGGTCATTATTTATAGCGTCCCATTCTTGATTATTAACATAATCAATTGCAGTTGAGATGATGGGATCAGGATTTTCTGGTTCTCGAGGTAAGGTTAGACATGCTAATTTATTTATATTATCAGCCATAGCACGGAATCCAACTAAATGTGTAGTATCAATAGGGGAACAAGATGAAGGGGTTTTCATTTTATCATAAATGATTTGTAATGTATTATTCGAAATAGATCCATTTCGAATTTCATTTAATACTCCATAAAACGTCATATCCTCATTTTGTCTGCGAGGAGTAGTCAAAAATATAGAGAAAAATTCAGACCAAACAGGTGATCGAAACACTTGAGCACCGCTTACAGGAGGTAATTGTGCAAGGTCACCAATTAGCAAAACCTTGATTTCACCAAATGGTAAAGTATTATTGTGTAGACGAGCAAAGAGATTACTAATGAACGTCAATAAACTAGCAGATACTATAGATATTTTGTCGATTATGATAACTTCAGTCTCTCAAAGAAGTTGACGACTTTCTTGATCATTTAAAGCTAAACTCACATGATTACCAGAAGATGGTCGTATTTTTAGTTGAGAATGAATTGTTTTACCATTTATATTTTGGGCAGCCACACCTGTTGGAGCCATTAACAAATACTTCTCACGATGTGATTGGAGGTGGTTTATTATTAATGTTATTAAGTAAGATTTACCGGTTCCTGCAGAACCAGTTAAGAAGAAATAAGGATGACCACGTTGACCTATACGCTTTCATGATGAAATTGAATGCAGCGTATTGGTCAGTTGGTGTTTCTAGTACTGAATAACGAGAAATCGGGGGAGGAGGACACATCAAAGTATTAAACTGATTACGTATAATAGTCGCAATATTCTGTCGCATACTATGTATTATTTTATCTATTTGTTGTTGGTAATTATGAGAAAATCTGACAAATCTTGCCGATATACTCTGATTAATACCGTGTACTACTTGATCGAATTGCTCAGGAAACCTTGAACGAAAATGATCGCGGTAGTTCGAATATGAACCTAATAAATTGATTTTACTTCTACATGGTAAATGAAGCAGTAGCTGCTGATAAAAAAATGCTTCTTCATCTTCTACCGTAAGGTATTGGAAACGTACTAAAATTGACTTTTTTCTTTTAATTACAAATTTACCCTGTTGATCAATCCAATAGGTAACATTTGAATTAGGTCGACAGGATTTAATTTTATAATTTTGATGATAATATGGATAGGTAATATTATCGAAGTGAGAATCGATTGGTCTGAAAAAGTATTTCTCAATAGCATCTGCCCAGTACGGATTAGTATTTCCACCATCTAATAGACAAACTGGCTTTATACACTTTGTTCGTGTATTAGGTGGGGCGGTAGTCAGATATTCGGTAGTGATAGTGGAGCGACAAATTGAATATCCAATCAAAAGAATCATCAATTCCATCGCACCAAGACGTCTGGCTAAAACATGAGAACGGTAGGTATTATGTTCGGTTAACCTAAACAGATCTGAACTTTCCGGTTTGATAATATATTTAGTCATATATTTGGTGAATGATTTTGAGGTGACATATTGAAAATTACAATGCCCTCGCCATAACAACAGAGTCGGTGCGTGATAAGGAACAATCCATCGATCCGCTTCCTTGGTCCAGCGATAGGTATAACGTAAAGAAGTGGGATTAAAATAAGTATGAACCGATAGCGGTACCGGAAACTTTTTTCTGCATTGTTCTCCAGGGAGAGGTGTTCACCACATTTACTAGGACAACAATGGTGGATTCGATGATCACGAACCAGTTCATAGAAAACTGGTTTAGTTTGGGGATCAGGCAGATCTGCACGTATAACATTGCGGTCTATTAGATTTGGTATCGGCATATCAAGATAAGCTATACCATGGGTATGTATGCTGCCACGATTTTGAAATTCATCTCTTTCAAAATGATGCAACCATTTACCCCATTCAGATAGATTTGAATTTTTCTATAGCAAATTTCGAACCGAATTTAGTCTATGATGATAATGAAAATAAGTATACAGGGGACGATTTGTCGGCAGAGTGCAACGGTCATCAGTAGATGATAGAATTTTCGATAAATGTGGCCAAGGCCTTCAGCCATGGTCATAGTATAAAATATTTGGGGTAGTCCAAAACTTTGAACCATTGCATTCACAGAATGTTCACATTGACGAAAATACGTATCCCCAGTTCTTATATAAGAAGGAAGTGTAGTAGTTAACGTTTCATTAACGATAGGCCGATTATTATAAATACTTTGATTAATCAAATCTGCAATCGTTGGAAGTTGCTGTCGATCCATATCTCGTTGACGTAAAATACGTTGCCTATTTTGATAGTTTCGTAGTTTTTCCAAATTAACATAGGACCAAAATGGCCAGTACCAGTGGAGACGAAATCTAGGATCCGGACATAACAATCGAATTTTAATATATTTAGCATAAGGATCAATATGGACACGACAATTATTCATCCCTTTACAGATGTATCCCCAATGACCATACCCATCAGGAAAGAGATCAGGAAAAAGGATTGCCTCTAAATTAGGATCGTTATATGGAATTGGTAAGTCTACGTTATTGGGATCTCTTATGAAACCTGCTAACAGTCTACTATAATGAAAATCTTCATTATGAATTTCAGGGTCAAATTCATATGGTGGCACTACTATATCTGGAGGATGTTGCAGTGGTGGGTTATTAGTTGATACATTTTCATCAACAATTAATTGTGCTGTAGGAAAAACATTTGGAGGGCGTGTAAAAATAATTGAAGAAAACATTTGATCAAATTGTCTAAAGAAATGATTATTGATTTTTAGCCAGCTAGCCGCATTTATTAAAGACGGATAAAACCAATTATCGCCAGGCGCAGAATCTAATATGGCACATAATGTTCCAGCGTAAATTTGTAAAGCACAGATATTTTTTGAGAGACCAAATGCGCCAGTAAGATGCCGGTAGTATGTAAATCGATTTGTATTTTCTGCACGTCTGAGAGAGCAACTTAAATGAATAGATGAAAGCCAGCGACGATAAAACATTGGAACGTTCGCCAAGGTAGCTGGAACTGGGGCAAGTGTAGAGGCGGTGTGGTGTTTAGATACTAACACACACGAAGCATATACAGCGATATATCTCTCTTTATTAGGATGTTCAGTGAGGGACAAATTCGAAAAAGCTTGACAAAGGTCGTAATTTATATTAAGATCACGAGAGGCCCATTTTGCTTGTGAAGGAAACATAAGAATTGAGCAATGTGAACAAGGAACGCACAGAAATATATATAAAATTTTGGTTTGAAATCGGTGATCAAGTGAAATTAAAGCATGTGAAGGTTGCCATGGAGAAAAAGAAGTTAAGTTGGATGGTGATTGACGATGATTATCTGATAAAAAAGTAGGCACTCGTGGATAATTTGCGTTAACATTTAACCGAGCTTGGTAACTCGAAAAAAGGTCATTCTGTAAATCAAAATAAGGGTTATCTTCATCTAAATCTACTAAAGATATTTGAGCTATAGGAAGAGACATTTCACAAGAAGACAAGATTTAATTTAACTTTTTAATTAAGTAAAAATGATAAGTTTATTGATGGCGGCAAGCGAATTTTTTTCATCTTTTATAAATATTTGAAAGCATTAGATTATCGTTATAAAGATAACAAATTAATGACCATCAAATAGAATGATCATTTTATGCAGGAACGAAATAATAATAGGAATTTAATAAATATTTTGATTTTATAAAAAATGTAAAGGGGTCATTTAAAATTAAAATTACTATAACATTTAATAACAATACTTATCTTGAATTATTTTTTTTAATAAATAAATAAGAAGTTATTTTTAATAAACATCAAATATTTACTAATAATGGGTGTATTTAGAGTTCATTAGTATTATTTTTTTAATAAATAAGAAGTTATTTTTAATAAACATCAAGTATTTACCAATAATGGCAGTATTTAGAGTTCATTAGTAGGGCTCAATTGGGTAATTTTGTAAATTCGATAGTCAAACGGGTCAGTGCATGTGATATGACATAAATTGATCGGTAGGTAAATCATTTATCACTTTAATTATGATGTCAATGGGGGGTTGAAATGAGTACTCTAGCCATAGCAAAAAAGGTTTTTGCACGTGACATTATACAGTAAAATTAGCCAATGACGGATTCCAATTTAGCATAATGTATTACGATCAGGAAAATTCAAAACAAAAGTTTGATCGAAAGAAAAATAGAAGAAATCGCTTATTTCTCATCAAACTTCATAAGAAACAAACTAACAAAAAATTATGGGGAGGTAATTTTACTTATAGTACTCACTAGACCTAACCCAACCCTAACCCTAACCCTAATTTAAAGAAGCTTTAAGATTTTTATCAGTTATCACGTGACAGTTTTTTTTTTTGCCATGGCTAGGGTATTGGGTTAAAATTTTATCGAATCGACTATAAGTGTTTATAAAACATCGAAATATTTGAGTATTTTATAATTTGTATAAATATAAGCATTAAAGTTCAAGCTTTATTAAACAGAGAAAGGTAATATTTATATACCCATTTTGAATACATCATACGGAAGACAACGAACCCTAATAATATTTTGGATGTTATAAAAATCACTAAACAGATAATTTTTTTTTATAACGTAAAGTATAATATTTTTGTATCAATAAAATATCAGTATGTACATGGTACAAATTTTAAATCAAGGGTATTTTATAACGCATAAAACATACAGATCTGGTCATCGTAAGTTGGGAGAAAAGTACGTAAAGTAATTCGAATCATTCTTTAAAAGAGGTAAACGTGAATTACGATTTATAGTAGTTAACTAAAAAATTTTGTCTAAAAATTTTATTAAATGACTCGATTAATCAAATTTCATTATAGTTGTAATTTGAGAATTTATCCCATAGGTATGAAACTCATTAAAATAAATCGGTTATTCGGAATATATCGACTCTTTTACATGAATAAAATGATTGATAAAAATGTACAGGGACTCGTGAGAAACGAATCGACTTTTTAAAAAAATAAATTTTTTATTTTTATTTTTATTTTTTTTGAAACTTAATCTTCAGATATTAAAAATAAGTTATTAATTGACATCTTCTCACTTTTTACATAATAATTTTAAGATGATTTAAGGAATATTATGACGACAAAGAAGAAATTAATTTTTCTTTTTTGAAGATCTTTTATTTGAAGTGCTTTTGGTTTCTTTTTTTTTTTCTTGTTTTTTTTCAACTTCTTGTTCTTTTTCGAATTCTTGTTCACCCAAAAATTCTAAATCATCATCATTTGAAGCGTTTTCTATATGGACTCTTCTATCTTGGACGTTATCCATAACAACCGGCTCTAAACAATTCAAAGCCAAATCAGACAATTTACCTTTACCTTTCCGGTTTTGAACAGTCTCAGTAGCATTTATAGGAGATGTTGAATTTGAGGGACCAGCAAAGGCAGGTGCGTTCACATATTGGCCTATATATTGTATATATTCAACTCTTGATATATATATATATATAAAATATAAATAAAATACCAATGGCAGAAAAAACATACCTGGCTTTAACATTCCCTCAAAATTCGGAAACAATAGTGCAGACTCATCGGTAACAGGGGATGAGTTAGTATCTTTTTTAGAAGATCTCGATGTTAATATTCGGGGCCTTTTGGGTGCTCGCGAAGCAATAGATTCGACATCTACATCTTCAGCTATAAGGTCAATATCTGAGCAATGACCTGAAGCGACTGATGAAGAGCCACTTTGCACGTTCTGAGCTGTATTAATAGTGGTTACAAAGTCGATGTCTGTAACCTCAACTATGGTAAACTCTGAGGTTACACATCTGATAAAACCGGACGCAATGAATGTTCTGGCTGGTTTAATGCTATTATTAGCATGTAGATATAAAAATCGCTGCGCGTTTGTAGGGTAGAATAATCTCAATTTCATTTGAACATTTCTTGAATTAGTATATGGGTTATATTGGTAATACGCAGCCTCAAAATACGTAGAGTCACCAACTTCTCTTTGTTCACGGGTGACTAATATGAAAAAATGCAATGGGGAACGCAAAGTGGGATTTCACTGGCTTCAAACTCATGATCACGTTCACCTTCTGCAATAACACAAATGCTCGAAGCGGTAACATATTGTTTAAGATTTTCGACAACGAATTTACCCGTGAACATTACGATATCCCCAACAGAAAATTCAGTGTAAGGTTTATTGTAAGGATAAAAATATTTTCACCTAATGATTTTAAAATCATTTTCATCTGATTGATACTTGGCAAGACCTTGTGTTAGAGCAGTAAAATTTTCTTTTGTAGCTATAACGACAATTAAAGAAGTATGCGAAGGCATCTTAAAAATGTAATAAAGGTAAATGAACAACGTAATATTACTGCAAACACTCAATGTTTTACAGGTATATATATATTATTTGACACATGATATAGACGATATAAAATTGTCTCGATATCAGTTATTTTTTTCATGACAATAAATAGATAGTATTCATAGCAATGCATTTGTTAGTTTTAAATAGAACAAATTTTTAAATAGTTTTAAATTACTTATTAATATTATACTAAACATATTAAAATCGAAAAAATCATAATAACAAAACAAAATAATAATAGAAAAAATATTGAAAATATGTCGATATAATCGGCAAGAAAGTAAAATTATCATAGCGAGAGATAAAAAAATCAATTAAATCGGGTATCGCCTATTTGAAAATAGATAAATAGACACGGCATATATTTTTGATCTATCAAAAAAAAAAAAAAAAAAAAAAAAAAAAAAAAAAAAAAACAGATTCCAAAAAAAACACAAAAAAACCAAAAAAAAACTTGATTTTCTTATTTTTTGAATCGTATAAAATCTTTATTTACTCTAAATCTAACTTTTATGATATAAAATACAACGATGTTTAAAGGAAGATCGGATGTCTATTTTCGATATATATATTCTTCGCTAAAAATAATCTGTATTTAATGCTAATACCGTAAATTGATAGATTCAAAATCATGAAAATCAAGTTTTTGCTTGATTTTACTGTGCACTATTACTGGCATTTTTAAATTTTATTTTAAATTATCTATTCTAGTAAAAATAAGCAACACGTACATAACTTTACAATGAACATAAAGCTTAATTTAGAAATAAATAATGAGCACTATGAAAAATTTTACATACATAAAATATTTTGAAATATGATAAACCTAATTTTAATAAAGCATATATCAATACTAACTTATTTAGGGAAAATTAAATTAATTTATGCAGGTCGATTTTAAGAAGCATAGCAAGGTTTATACCAAGGTGTGTCCGGACATAACGTATGCATTCAATTGGTCAGATTATCACGCTACCAGGCATCAGATTGTTGTTAAAATGAAATAATAAACATTATAGGGCAAAATTTTATAAAGAAAGGTTACATTTTTTTTTTTTTTTTTTTAATATTAAAAATAATTTTCTAAATTTGAAATAATTTAATGAATAAAATAAAAATAAAGAATTAATTAAATTTAAATAATAATAAATTTTAATAATAAAAATAAATAATAAAGATTTAACATAGACCGAAGTTAATATGTATTTTTTTGATACTTAATATTTTTTTTATGTGACGTTGCAATATTTTTTTTTTAGTTAGGTTATTATTTATTTTCTTTTTATTTTTTTTTGTGTGACCAAAAAAAGATATAAATACAACCTGAATACGATAAAAAATTTTCGGGAGCTTGTTCATATAGCACTATAGCACTTATAGAGCTATAGCGCTTATAGTACTATAAGATAATATAAAATTTTTTGATGAAGATCTTTTCCGTCTTAGCCTATAAGGTAATGTGGCGGATCACAAGTAAAGGTAAAACCAATTAAAAAGAAAATCTGTGACCAAAATTTTCCTTATTCGAATACGATCTTCAGTGCGATGGCAAAGAAAGATTAGAGCGGGTTAAATCCTATTCTTTTATTTATAACTATTTATTTATCTTGATAAAATGATTTAATATGAGGAACAAATTCACTTTTATCTTTAATATTTTTCAATACTGATTCAGATTCTAATTTCGGAATATTTCCTCCAATAACAAGTCCTGATTCCAAAATAATTCCATCAGATCCTGACTCCAAGATGGTTTCATCAGACCCTGATTCCACCAAAATTTGATCATATTTCCATTTTGTAAAGATGTTATTGAGTTCTACTGTTGAAGGTCGATTTTCTGGGTTTTCGTCCCAGCAACGTTTCATTAATTTTATATATGCATCAACGATATCTGATATTTGTATTTGAGATTGAACATCAAATTTTTTACTGCATATTACAGACTTCCCACTACAAACCTCCCACATTATAATACCAAAGCCATATATGTCTGAAGCTTTGTATACATAAATTTCTATTTAAAATTTCTGGTGCCATATATGGATAAATTTCGTGAATTGCACTTCCTTTTTGTTCTTGTTCTCGATTTTTTGGGTTTGCATTTAACGCTATATCAGATGATCGGGAAAGTCCCAAATCTGCAATATACGCATTGTTTAAATCATAGAATAAAATATTACTACTGTGAAGATCGCGATGGACAAGTTTCTGCGAATGAATTGCATCAAGATCAGATGCAATACTTTGTAATAAACTTAATTTATAGTTCCATTTCATTTGCGATATAAAATGAAGATTTTGCTGCAAAGAACCCAATTTTGCATACTCCATAACAAGGATATAATCTTTAGAGTTAGAATGTTTAGATATTCCATAACATTGTAAAAATGATGAATTTTTACACCTGATATCAATGTACGCTTTTAGCTTCAATATAAAAAATAAATAGTTAAAAAAAAAAATAAAGGCATATAGTGCCCGACAAAAGTTTCCCCGCACCTATATCTCCTCATGGAGAGGTGCTATGATCATGAAACTTTCAGAAAAGTTAGTATCTGCATAGTTTAGATTGTGTATGTGTTTTGAAGATTTTATAATCACAAGAAAAAATTTTGGATAAGAACTAAATTTGGGCGTTTTTTGTTTCTAAAAAATTAAAAAATTAATTTAATTCAAATATATTATTAAGGCTTAAAGCTAAAACTTTCAAAAATTAATACATTAAAATTCAACAATTTCTGTAATAGTGGTAAAAAATTTGACTCGATTTGATGAGATAGTTATTGAGAAATTAATTTTTAAAGTTTTGAGGTTTATTTTTGATTTGT